CCCCCCCCCCCCCGCCCAGGGATCAGAAGCCAAGCCTCAGGCGGGTGTGGTGGTGCACGCCTGTAGTCCCAACACTCTGGGGGTTGAGACAAGAGTGAGTTCAAGGCTGGCCTGTCCCTGTCTCAGAAAAAAAAAAAAAAGAAGAAGCCAATCAGCCAATTTGGGAACTACTGGCCCAAGACAAGGCTCAGAGTGGGGCCAGGGGAGGGCTTCTTCCCACAGACATCAAGATGGTCTTATTTGTCTCCCTACCGGCCACCAAGAAATGAACTGACAATTTTACTTTACTTCTGGGTCAGGGCAGGAAATGATTCCCCCTTCTCTGAGCCAGAAAGACAGACTACCCGACAAGGGAAGCCACTCTTCTGCAAGTGGCCACCTGCCCTGCAGGGCCCCTTCCCTCCTTCACTGGGCTCGGCACATCTGTGCTCCCTCCCCAGCGCCCTTGCTTCCTTCACTGGCGGGCCTGTCCTTGGAAAGAACAATCGTGATCACAGCTGAACGGTGGAGCCTCTTAAGCCCAGCCACATGTCCCGGATACATTCTCCAGCCTTGTCAGCTGTCCGGATCTGCAGGGTGGGCCTAGATCCAAGCGCCAAGAATACCCCGCCCCTTACATCAGGAGGCACCCCACACCTCCTGTGCCTTTGGTTACAGATGCCCTTAAAACTAGGCCCTCCTCTTAGGAATTCTTAGAAATCCAGTAATAACAGTGAGACAGGCCCCAGTCCTGGCCACTCACTAACAGCTCCCCTGGGCCCTAACCCTTGGAAGGAGTCTGGAAGGTCACAGGTCTCTTCTCAGGCCTTGAATTAGCGGGTTTTCTGAGCCCTGGCCCCCAGCTTGATCTGAAAGTACTAATACAGCCTTCAGTATGTTCTTCATCACTTTCTTGCTCTGTCTCTTTAGAAGGGCAAAATATATTCCCATGAGTCACCTCTTTCCTGAGATGCCCTGAGATGGAACCTTTCTTTGCACTCTCTTGCTATTCATCTGTCTTAAAAAACCCGTGGTGTCTACATCTCAAAGCCCAACCTTTCAACTTTATCCTCAAATCCAAAGAGGAAAGCAAGAATTATGCCCCACTTTGTGATTGAAAGGGAACTTCCACTTCATTAGGTGCTAGTGATTAGCGTTCAGGACTCAAAACCAAATAATGCCATGACTCTGAATATCAGAACTTCTCTGAAAAATGAGGGAGGGCTAAACCGGGCATGTATTGAATACCTGTAATCCCAGCATTTGGGAGGCTGATGCAGGAGGATCCCTGAGAGTTCAAGGCTATTCTCTACTACAGGGTGAGACCCTGTCTCAAAAAAAAAGAAAGAGGGAGGGCTCTTTCCTAGGCCTGATCTAACAAGATGACTCAATTTCAGAAAAATGTGGTGGGAGTGTGTGCATATGTGCAAACCTACAGGCTGAAGATGCTACACAAAGCCACCTCTAGTATCAGAAACTGGAGAAGTCCCTAGTATGATCCAAAAGTATTAAACCCCAGGGCAACACATCTTAAGGGCCACTTTAGAAAATGTTAATGTTTTTATTTCCCCTTCTACCTTTTTTCTTTTTTTGAGAGAGGGTCTCACTATGTAGTTCAGGCTGGCCTTGAACTCACTATGTAGCCTAGGCTGGCCTCAAACACAAGGCGATCCTCCTGCCCCAGCCTCCCCCGAATGCTGGGGTTACAGGTGTGTACCACTATACCAGACTCTACCTTAATTTTTAAATCATTGACTTTTACATTTTGCCTTCATTTGTTATCTAAGAAAGTCAGCCAAACTTCTGAGCACATTTAATGTCAGGTTTACAAGACTGGGGATAAGAGTTATGAACTGGGGGGCTGGGGATTTAGCTCAGTGGTTCCACCACCTGGCGTGCAAGTTCGATCCCCGGTACCAAAAAAAAAAAAAAAAAAAAGAGTTATGAACTGGGCAGAGTGAATTTCCAATAAGCCATCTTTTCACCAGTTCTAGACAGATGCAAACAAAAAATGACATGGGGGAGTTCCAAAAGGCCCACCAGTGCCCGGCTTCTAACTTCCTTTAACCTGGAATAAACCCATTCTATATGTTGTCTCTACCCACCAGGCCCAACCAAAGCTCTAGTGAGAGGCTGCAATTTCAGAGGATAATCTAGAAAAAAGATCGTGGGAATGAGGAGTAAGGGCTGCTGAGCATGTATTTACACCCCACAAGAAGGGGAGTGATTCCGGAGCTTGGAAACTAAAATGGAAGACAACCAGCAGGTATCTTTAAATTCTTCCCTCATCCTAGCTGGCCAATACGCTCCCAAAGAGATTTCTGAAAGCTGCTACCAAAATGCCCTTCCCCTCTTCCCCACTCCATAGTGAGCACACAGGTCAATTGGTCAGCAGGTCTGCTGATCACCAGGTTAGGATTCACCCAACCAGCCAGCACAGGACCCTCCCCAAGGGATGGAAATAGCAGAAATTTGATTTCACAGTGGACATCTATACAACTTCTTTCTTACCCTTCAGAAGGGGGGAGAGGGGAGGGAGTTGGGAAGAGAGGGAGAAGGGGAGACGGGGAGAGAGAAGAGAGAGAGAGCTCAACTGTAGCCCTTCCTTTCCTGGACTGCCCCACGCTTGCACTACATGGGAAAAAAATGTTTATGCTCCATTTGTGTGAAGATCGGGAGAACTCTAAACATTGTGAAATCCACCAGTGCAATATTGGGTAGGGCCTCAGGCCAGATGGAGCTTATTAAGAGATTGATAAACTCCTATTTCCCAACTGCTCTGGACCTTTTACCTTCCAGCTTTGTATCCCTGAGGGGCTTGTCAAGAAGGTTAGAGTCTTGGTCAGCTAACCAGACAGCAAAGCCTCAGCTCCCGCCCCTCCACAGGTTCTCTGGCCTTCAATGTGTTTAGGTTTTCCCCAAATTGGAGAGAATCACGCCACTGATTTGGAGACAGGGAAGAGGGGCCTGCCACTTGGTCTGGGCACCCCACTGATTCCACACCTTTCCTTACAGCATAAGCCATGGTGGGAGGGCTCCCGGGAGACTCGCTGCGCCATAAGGAGGCCTCTTGCCCTCGGCCAGACTGGCAATATGGATGCCTATCCAGCAGCTAGTGAGAGGAAGCTAGCAGTCCTCCCCTCTGTTCACCATCCCCTCCAGACCCTTTGGCCTCTCGCTCCATCCCTCAGCCCTTCAAGCCATGTAACCATTTTCCGTCTCTCTTGCTTCCTCTGCCCACAACCCCCAGCCCCGAATCAAAGAAAATTGAGAAACCATCTTCTTGCACAAGAGCAGCTACTGTCTAAAGGCTTTTTGATCGCCTGCATGGAGGGGGAACTGGGCACAGCCCTGGCCCCAGTGATGCAGCCAAGCTCCGGCTGCCCGGGCTGGCTAAATCCGCCCTTCACCCCCCTCATTGCCCCCGTGATCTTGTCGATTCAGAATTTTTCAGAACGTACCGTCTCTATGCTTCTCTCTTCTAGGTGATGTCAAGCCTGGTACCACCAAGTAGGGAAGGAGGAAAAGTAGGAGTCTTATCTCTCCTACGCATGCAACCTCTTCCTCCAGCTCCCACACGCTTGGCGTTATGTAAACGCACCGTCAGCCCCCACTACAGCCCTAGCGACGCCCGGGGGGCTCTGGAGCCTTGCACAGCCCAGAGATAGGGAGGCAAGGGGTAGCCGAGAGCCTCGACCCTGCAGAGCCGGGGAAGAAAAAGACAACTGCAAGGCAGTTGCACAGCATAAAATGCGGCTGCCGAGCAAAGGTCAGACGGCCTGGAACCGCCTCGCCAAGGAGCGGGAGCAGAAATGCCCAGTGCTGGGCCGGCCCCGCGCTGACCATCAAGGGAGAGGCAGAAGGGGAAGAAAGCCACTCAGTCCGTCCCGGCTCCGAAGGGGAAAGAAAAATCTACGTCGAGCATAGGCCGCTGCGGCGGGCCGGGAAGACCTACAAGAGAGCTTGCACCGTGGGCAAGCAGCCCGGGGTGAGGCGAGCCGCCTAAGGCGAGGGTACCCCCAGACCCAAACGGTGGCTTCTGAGCAAGCCCAGAGCCAACCGTTCCAGCGTCGGAGGCGAGGGGTGGCAGAAGGAAAGAGGCCAGGCCAGAGGCAAACTCCGAAGACACGCACGGGGCTTCCCGAGTCGCAGAGGGCGGGGAAGTCAGGCTTGGCAATGCCCGGGGGTCGGAAACAGCGGTGCCAGGCTGTGAACACCCCAGCGCCGTGCTGGCCGGGCCGAGGGCGTCAGGGAGCTTCGGCGCACCGCAGCGACTAAGGGAGGCGCAGGCAGAGCGAAGGAACACTGAGTCGCGGTTAGAAACAGCGAACCTTTTGCCCCAGCTCTATGGGGAGTAGCGTCGCGGCAGCTTCGGATCTCCAAACCGGCCATGGACTTACTTTGAGGAGCTGCAGAGTCACAAGCATTGCTCCGAGTCTGTGTAAATCCCTGAAGCCGAGCGGTTCAGCCGCCTCTGTACTCGCAGACGCCAGCCGGAGAAACCCGCAAGGCTCCCAGGGTCCCGCAGCGCCAGCTCCGCGCTGTCAGCTCCGCTCGCTGCCTCGGCGGCGGTGTTGCAACCACGGCCTGGGAAAATGGCTTTTTTATGAATGGGAGGGAAAGGAGACCCAGTGCGCAAGCGCGCCGTCCGCGATTCTATGAATGGGTGGGCATAAGAGACCCCGCGTGCGCATGCGCTGCGCTCCTTTTTTTATGAATGGGGGGCCGGAAAAGAACTTAACCCGTGATTGCTGGGGCTGGCTCTCGCTCCTCAAGGGGCCGTCGTTCTTTTACAAAGAGGGGTGGAGGTTGGTTTTCTGTGTTTTTTTTTTTTCTGAATGAATGGAGGGCGGCGGCGACTGCTGCAGCTGGCTCAGCTGCGCGGGCTGTACCCCCTCCCAGCCTACAAGAGGAGGTAAAGGCCACCTTCACGCAGCTGCGGGCCTGGGCAGGAACCGTCTGTGTCGTTGGGGGCGCGGGGCTCCGTTGGCCTTCGGATCCTGGGCTGAGACCAGGGTGGGGGAGGACACACCTAGATGTGGGTATCTCTTCCCGCCGCAGGCAGGCAAGGGGGTGGGGAGGCAGTAGGTCCCCGGTAGGTCACTGGCGCCTCAGGACTTTGGAGGGAGGGATTTTGAAGCTGTATTTACCAAAAACTATGAAAATGTCCAATGTCCATATCAATGGGTGGAGTGGAGATTGCGGAGGGAGTGATTTGGTTCCTGAGGCTTGAGTCGTGAGTGCGGACCCCCCCCCCCGTTTCTAGGGTGTGGACAGGGACTGGACCGAGGCCTCTTCCGGCTCCAGTACCCCCCGGGGCGATTCTGTCAACTCAGCCAGAGGCCAGGCCTTCGCCTGAAGATCCCCTCTGCTCCCGCCTCAGTGTAATTGTCTGCAGTGCTGGGGTCTTCCGCCCCCTGGCTAGGTGTCCCGGGCCTACCCACGTTCCTTTCCCAGCCCTCACAGGACGCTAGGCTAAGGAACCTCCGTCCAGCAAAGGCCCATGACCCTTTGCTGCTGTAGGCACTCTTCGCTAGAGCCCCCTTCTTCCCCGCCTATCTCCAGCTCCCCCAAAGGGAAGCGGAGGCAGCAGCAAACTGGCCAGGTGGATGGGTGGAGCCGGCCGCGCCGAGGATGCTGCCGGAGTGGCGGCAGGGATTAAATAACAGGGCTCCTCAGCCGCAGAGGAAATGGAAATGGCCGGGGATCTTTCTTTGCTGTTAATGACGGGGGTTGGGGGCGAGGGGGTGGAGCCCAAGCCAGTGAAAAGACCCCCCCCCCTCCGGCCTTTAGGTCTGACTCCTGGAAGGCTGCGGGCCCTCGCAGCAGGCCCTGCTCCGCCCAGGAACCGAGGACGCTGTAGCCTCCGGGGAGACTGGGGTAGGGGGTGGCTTTGATGCGGGGATAAAAGCTGGGCTGAGTCCGAATCCTCTCTAAGGTGTGTCTTTAGGGCTTTCCGGAGAGGTGGTAAGGCTGTTTTTTTCTTCCTACGCCACCATAGAACTGCGCTTTGCCGTTGTTAGAGGAGCCAGAAAGGCTCGAGCCTACGGCTCAGGTCTGGCCTGAGGCTGGGCCTCCAGCGACAGGCAGCCCAGATCAGAACCGAAGGTCAACGTGTCCTAGTCAAAAAATGCCTTTTCACCGCTCAGACTCACCTTTCCTAGTAATCACATACTCAGATCCTGGGGGCCAGAGTAGACTGGAGGACTTCTGCCTCCCTTCCAAGACCAAGATTTCCATCAAAAGGCAGGACTAGGCCGGGGATTTAGCTCAGTGGTTCCGGTGCCTGCCTCACACGCGCAAGGTCCCCAGTTCAATCCCCCGTACCAAAAAAAAATAAATAAAAGGCAGGACAGAAACTTTACCAGGACAATGGAAAATTTTTCAGCTGTTCAGGACTTCCCTTTAGGGATATTGTAGAAATTGAGGCTAGAGGTCTTGAATTAATAAATGGAAGCTCTAGTAAATTGTATTGCTAATTTTCTAGATCTTTACAGCTAGGTTCTCTACTGCTCCCAGCTTGGCAAACCTAAAATACAGTTCTGTTTCTTGTGTGTCATTTAAAGCAGTTGAACAGCCATAGTTTTTCCAGCCCGTGCTCACCCATGTTGCTTGCTCAGTTACAAAATGAGAATAAATAAAATCCTTGTTTTAAAACTATGGAGGATGGACAGGGGGGTGAGGGCTGCTGTCCTACTTCCTTGATTAGAGGAATCAGCCAGGAAACAGGATTTTACTTGGTGGTCTTTTTCTCAGCTTTCCTGAAGAAGGAGTTGAGATCCCAACCCAAAGTAGGGAGAGCAGGGTCTCTCAGTCCCCAGCTGGGAGGGTTTTCTGAGAGCCTTTGAGGGCACCGGAGGCCATATTCTTGTTGTACTGGGAACCTGAACCTAGATGTAGTTTGGGACAGCAGTTGTGAGAAATTCATTCATACTGTGCTGCAGTGTCTCTAGGAATGTATGGTGAGGGACAGGTAGCCCACCCTGCGCATGTGAAGCTCAGTCTTTTTTAGGAGTTAGACTGCAATCTGAGGCTAGAAGTGCCTAGAGGGAAAAATCAACACAATTGGAAGGCATGGGGAAAAGGGAGACAGGTGGAGAAAGATTTTGACTTGCACATTGGAGAGTGTCCCTCGAAGAGGGAGCCTGTGGTTGTGAGTTGAGACGAAAGACTGAAACGTGAGCCCGAAGGAGACATCTCAGGCTGAAGGGACATCTCAGCATCTCAGGCCGTGGCAGTGTGGGTGGAGGCCCTGAGTGGGAAAAAGCCTGGCACATTGGGGGTGGGGGTGGGGACAGAAGATCTCTTTCTTTGCTGTTAGGCAAAGGTTGGAAAGCAAGGTTGAAGTGAACCTGGTGAGTTCCGGTACATCTTCTGAAAGGTTTTAAGTGGGATGCAACACAGTGTGGTTTGTGTTTAAACCTCTACAGCAACCGTGCAGCCAATGGGGGTGGTGTGAGGGGCCAGAATGAAAGATAATGGGAGGGTTGGAGAACATTCACTATGGTGGAAAGCGCTGCTGTGTTCACTCTTGTGGATTGTAGCTGGTAGGGTGATGCTGGATTTGGGTTTTGTGTTTTTATTTTCTCCCACTGCAGCTGATGTTAATTCCAGAGGTACTCAATGTCTTGGAGTAGGTCCTGTGTAAACTTTTCTGCTAGAGCCAAACCCTAACAACCTTGCATTCCTGCCGAGGCTAAGGGCAGTCTTTTCATCCAACCCAATACAAACGCCTTTGCCTTCACCTTCACCAAGACACGGCCAGGGGAGCAGAGTTGGTTCAGTTCTGGCCTCTGTTCTTTTATTAAGCTTCTGGCTTTGCAGCCCCAGAACCTGGGAGAGGAGTTAGTGAGAGTAAGGAGAGGAAGAAATTAAAATTGAATGACAGATATTTGTGGAGCACTTACTGTTCCCAGTCCAGTGCTCAGCGTGTTTGCATATATAATGCTGCTTTAAAAGCAGGGTCCTGGTGTCCTGGGAGCCTAGGAGTATACTTTGCTGTGGAAGACTCTCCATTCATGCTGGAGGCTCTGCATTTGAGCCCTAGCATTGCAAAACAAAACAAAACAGCCATGGTTGTACATGTCTGTAATTCCAGCACTCAGGGAGGCTGAGGCAGGAGGATCACAAGTTCAGCCCAGCCTGGGGAATTTAGTGAGACCCTGTCTCAAAAAAAAAAAAAAAAGCTGGATGTGGTGTCAAATACCTGTAATCTCAGCAGGAGGATCACTGGGAGTTCAAGGCCAGCCTGAACTGCTTATTGAGACTCTGTCTTAAAAAGTGAAAACAAAAGGCAAAAACAAATTTTAAAAAGGGACATGTAGCTCAGGATGAAAGTCCTGGGTTCAATCCCCACTACCACACACACACACACTACAGTGTTCTGGTCTTATCATCTATCATTCCTCTTTTTCAGATAAGAAGTTCAAGGTTCCATTTCCTTTATGTATTCCACAAAGAAGTATTATGCCCTTCCTGGGTACTAGGCACAGTGCCAAATATTTCCAGAAATAAAAGGGACAAGGTACCTTTCCCCCATGGAGCTTACAGTCAGTGGTGATGCCAGCCGAGGAGAGGGAACAGAAAAGTGCGGGCTGGATGGACTTGCCCTCTCTACTCTGCATCAGCACATTCATACATTGCTGTATTCAGTGACCATTTCTCAACCTTCATCAAGGGGAAAGCAATGAAAACAAACCCCCACCCACCTGGATTACCTGCCCCCATCTGTGTAGAAAATATATAACTGCTACTGTTTATTGTCAAGTATGAGAGATAGACATTAAACAAATAGTTGATCAAAGGATAATTTAATTATAGTTAACTTCAGTAGTGCTTGCCCAGTGCAAAGGAGGGACACAGCCCGGGGCTTGGAAAGCTTCCCTGGAGCTCAGAGCTGCAGAACCTAGACTTAGCTAAGCCCAGCTTACTTCAGTGGTGGAAGCCTTGGCAGCACTGGACTGCAGAGACTGAGGCCAGCGGCCCTCCTCATTCCAGGAAAGGAGGGTGTCAGAACCAAAGGTTAAAGCTCTGATCCATGCACCTCTGAAGCTTTGTGGTTCAATGTGTTCAGATGTTTCAGCTTTGAGAAGTGCAGAGTTTGAAACACTGGTATGCAGACGCTGGCCAAGGCTCCTGGGTTAATGCTACCCTCCCAGTGTACAGAGCCTAGGAAAAGTTATTCAAACTATGTGCCTCAGTTTCACCATCTGTAATACAAAGGACCGAGTGAAGCTTGACCAGGGTAATGCACAGAAGGCCCCTAGATAGAATACTGCCTGGCATATCATCCAGTAATGTGCCAGTACTAGATGATTATTCAATACATCCAGTTGTTTTGATGCAAAGAATGAGAATTTTAAGAGGAGCCTGTTTATCTGTGCATATCAAAAACTCAGAAAGGGCCAGGGATTTAGCTCAGTGGTTCTGCCACCTGCCTTGCAAGTAGAGGGTCCCAAGTTCGATCCCCGGTACCAAAAAAAAAAACAAACCTCAGAGAAACGCAACATAAAATACAAAAACAGTCTGTGAGGTAGAGCTCAGCAATAGAGCGCTTGCTTAGCATGTGTAAGATCCTAGGTTAAACCCCTAACACACACACACACACGCACATACATACACATGCACACAAATGAAATACATAAAAAGGTTCTCTAAATTAATGAAAAATTTAAAACAAGTATACTGCAGCTGTCATTGCTAATATAGTGCAATTTTTACAGGGCCAAAATTGTATTTTCAGTTGTATGGCTGAATAATAGTTGACCAAAGGGTTGATTTAACCCTAACCAGGGCTGGGGGTTTAGCTCAGTGGTTTTGCCGCCTGCTGCGCAAGCGCAAGGACCCAAGTTCGATCCCCAGTACCAAAAACAAAACAAAACAAAAAAAACCCCTAACCAATGCAGATACTCGGAT